TCTTTAAGGTAAGTATCTAAGGTATTTTGCCTAAATGCATTCTTTGATCCCAGTAAATCTGGTTCTTCATCTTGAAGTCAGGTTGCTGCCCTTTACCTTATCAACATATTAACAATTAATGTCAGGTTAATTGACTTAGAGTATCGTTAATGGATTTAAGTATGATGAGCCTGGAAGAAACCAAACAAGCCTAGGGAGTACAAGCATGCCAAGAGGGTGAAGATACAGACTACAGATATGGATAACTCAGGGAGATAGCTCAGTGGAATAAGTGCTTACCTAGCAAGCACGAGGTCCTGAGTTTGATCCCTGGTACCACCAAAACAACAACAACAACAAAAACACCCAAATAAACAACAACAGATATGGATAACCTTGGATAAATTTGATCATACCTTAAAAATATAATTTCCTTTTCTCTTTCCTTTATTTCTTCTATCTCAGAATGAATTTTCTGAATGGTTTATTTTATTTTTATTTTTAAATTCATTTTAATGAGAAAAAATAGTGATGAAGCAGTTTCAAAACAGGTTAGTAGGATTGTTACAATAATTAATACACTGCATATTGTTGTCTTCATAGTAGTTATTTCAGAGGGCAAGGTGCAGACATGATATCTTGTGTAAACAATATTAGTAATGTTGTTGTTGTTGCTTTACCGGGAATTGGACTCAGGACTTTGTGCTTGCCTGGCAGGTGCTTATGCCAGTGAACTATCTCTCCAGCCCTAAAATTTAAATTGAGATTGTGATATAAAAGAGACAAAAGTAATACCAATCTTGTGATGACTGTTTTGAAGTAGATTCACAGTGGTACTTTGTGGTATTGAGGCCTATACATCCTTCACGACATATCCACTCCTACAGCAAGTAGTGGCTTCTAGATGGGCGACAAGAAGACCAGTCCAACATGGATAGGTGCACTGAGAAGTTTTTAGTCACTTCAGACAAGGCAAAATATTGTGCCTAGCTAGGGCATGGCGCGTGAGTGTCTCTTCTTTCTAAAGTCATATAGTAATATGGGCCTATCTGCTGGTAAGGCCTATGCAGGGTCAACACAGCCCATAGATTCCTGACTAGTACAGGTTCTGGATAAGCTGTCTTCTCTATGGCTCCCAGGAAGGCAAGAATTTGTCATTCTGTGGGGGAAGCCAAATGTGAAGATCTTCAGTTCTCTGTGGCAGCTATGGCAAGCCAGCTTTTTCTCTTGCTGCCTATGAAGTTCAGGAGAGATGTATGCAAGAGAATCTCTGATTTTTCTGTCTACCAACGCCTTCATCATAGCTGTTCTTCAGTTGTACATGACATGCACATATTTGTTTGGTTTAGTAGCAATGACATATTTGAATGCCAGTGAGAATAGAGAAGGTAAAAGGCATTAGGTGGAAAAAGAAAGGGAGAAGAGTAAAAAAGATTTTTTATAAAGTAAGTATCAGATTACCTAGTTTTTAACCCAAGCAAAACTTTGCATGTGACTAATACTCATGGAATCTCTATTATATCTAGGTTGATAGTTCTTAAACTGGACCAGATATCTGAATCCCATGGAGGGTGTGTTCCCTCCAACGCTGCTGGGCACCATCCCCTGAGTTTCTGATTGAGAAAGTCTGGGGTGGGGCCTGAGAATTTGCTTTGCCAACAAGTTCTCAGATGCTGCTGGTCACACAGGCCACACTTGTCTAGTTCTAAGTTATAAGGAAGAGGCAAACCCCAGAACATTTCCATTTCTGGAACACCTGCAGGAGCAGGCTGAGGGGAGAGAAATTTGATGTCTTCTAGACTTGTAATCATGGCCCACAAAAGACAAGAAAGTATTTAAAGTCCAGCATCCCCTAGAAGATGAGCATAATATCGACTTTACCATCATTTTGTTGCTGGGATCCACACAGAGGCAAGTGAGCTATATTTTCTGAAATAGTGGGAAAAACCAGAGTAAGCATCACTTACTTGTCTCTTTCTGTACCAAAGTGTGTTCTACTGGTAGTCTTTCTTGATATATTTTAACTTGAGCATTCTGGTAGACCAGAACCTCAGACATGAGTATTTTTTTGGTTAGAAAAGAAAGGATAAAAATATACAACCTACCAAGGTTTCTCCCAGGGAGGGCATATGGTTAAAGTTCAAACCATTGCATATCTCTTTTTCTAAGGAAAGCAAAGTAAGGATTGAGAATAATGTTTTCTATTGCATGTTTCTATTTTCTTCTTTCCATTGTGAATGATAAGTGAGGTGCTACTTTTTTTGTTTTCTACTTCCTAATATGTTGGGAGTGGTGGTAAAAATGGGGATGCTACTGGAAGTATGCACAGTGAAATGTTGAAGTGAAATGATACTTTAATAGTGTCTTGTTTTACTGACAGTTCCTAACATTTTGAGGTATTTCTACAAACAGTTCATCATATTTGACCTTATGAAGCTGGGCATGGTGGTGCATTCCTGTAGTCCCAGCATTCTGGAGTCTGAGGCAGGAGGATCCTTGCGAATTTGAGGCTGGCCTGGGTTACACAGTAAGTCCAAGCCAGTCTGAACTACATACTGAGACCTTGTCTCAAAAAAAAATTTTTGACCTTATGGCAGAAGAACATCCAACTCTTTTTTCTCCCAGATGTTTCCTTGGAAGCATAAACTGTTATTAGTTTGAGTACTTAGCAGCAGTTGCAGAGTGGCATATTATTTGAGGTTTCATTTTTTTATCCAATATAGAAAGCCTGGCAGCACTAAATAAAAATGTCACTGTAAAATGTAAAGGCTTTCTGTCACAAATGTTTTTAAAAATTCATGAAGAGCCAAAGATTTATCTTATCCTCTTTCTGTGATTTATTCATATTTAATGTTAGTCTCACTGTCTGAAGCATGAAGAACTTTTTCAAATTAAAAACTGAGGTGAATCAGTTTTATTTGAAGAAAAATTTCACAGTGCCAGTTTTTGAATTATGCAGCTCATTCCTCTTTATATCTCCAAGAGGCAAAATTGTTTAGTTTCCCACTGACTGCAGTTCTCCCTGGTACAGTAGTTCACTGTGGGAAAGCCCCTTTACCCAGCTACGTGGTGATGATGGCTATTGCTCTGGTATCACTGGCCATTTTTTCTCAGGCATTAATCATGGTCACCCAAATTTGGTGACAAAGAAGAAGAGGGGGAACAGCCCTCATCTCTAGAACTATGGAGTTGGTTGGTTTGTGGGGTTTGTTTTGGTTTGCTTTGGTTTGGTTTTGAGCTATTGAGTAGAATGTCTTGGAACAGAGAAAAGATCCGGTCTTCTTTATGGAGGGTTCATAACAGTGAATGATAATAGAATTAGATTCAAGTGAAGGAAAAGAAGTGAACAGACTCATAGTCTTTTATTTTTTAGCCATTCAGTAAATACAGAGGGTCTGAGGCAAAGAACCTGTTCAAGGCCCCAAAGAGTAGGAAGGAGCTGCTCGCCTCTCTTGTTTTTATTTTTGCTGGTAGACCTGTGTCAGAGGACAAGAGTGTATTAACTTATACCCCATCATGAAGGTGGAATCTTTTTTTCCATAATTTTATTGAGACAAATAGCAATGAGACAGTTTCAAACCAAATTGGTAGGACAGTTTCAATAATTAGCACATTCCATACTCTCTTCATAGTGGTTATTTGCTGTGCAAGATGCAGACATGATATCCTATTTACGAACACTATTACAACAAATCCCTCTATTCATTAAGAGAATGTAATTATATCGCTCTTAACCATTTTGAATACACAAATACAAAATGAACATTCATATTCTGTCATTTGAATATTATAGGTGTGTTAACTCAGCAAAATACTCTAAAAGAGTCCAGTAGTCCATAATAGTATTGGGTCTTCCACTTGACTGGCAATGTCAGAAATTGTTGACCTCAGTCCCCCACAGCTCAACATAACTACATGGTTTTACTTCCTATACTTCGTTTTTAAACTTTTCTGCTGGATGGTTAAGACCAAGATAAAGCAAAACCTATGCAACAAGAGTTGTAGCTTTTGGGTCTGATAAGGTCAGTGAAATCTCCTCAGGATTTATCCTGAGATCCTGTACCTTAGATTGTAGAACCTTTGTCAGTGTCAGCCATGTGGATGAGTCACTGCCATTGCTTGGCCAATGTGCTCTCTGTGAAAGCCTGAGAGAATGTTTTCTCTCCATGTGACTCTCCTTAACACACTCTACATCATTGATTACTTTCCTGTTTGGCCCCATAATCTCCTTGATCAGAAAATTTGGGACACTAATGAGTTACATGATGTTACAGTACAAGTTCTCATATGTCCTGAGTCTTTTTTTTTTTTTTTGTGGGACTGTCCTGCTACAAGGTTGTATATGATTAGATTTCTGGACTTATGTGTAAACATAAGAATTATATAATTCTTTATGCCTATTTTTAAAATATATTTTAATTTTTTAAATGTTTTTTCATCCTATTCTGTAGGGACTTAAAGTTCAACATATCAATACTTGATGAAAAATACCTGTTCCATGTTATGCCTAAGATGTTTGATTTCAGACAGATAGTGAGGTTAAGCTTAACAGCCTAGGTTGTATGGTAATAACAATAAGCTTCTCTTCTGGAGGGTTAACAACCTAAGTTTGCAGACCAAAAATAGAGAAAAAAGAGGACCGCAAAGAAAGCCAACATTTTGGCCCTAGCCTTCCAATGAAGATGGAAGCTTAAATGATTCTAGACTGATTCTAGATGATTTTGAGATGATTCTCTAAGGTGTCACAAGACTCACTTGCCCTGGGCTTCCTGGATTTTGCCTGCCTATCTACCTGCACATCTGTCTGTCTTTATAGCTCATTGTATATGCATTCCTTCATTTTATTGCTCCTCCTTATTTCTATTTTTCCACTCTGGAGTTACTTTGGAGCACCCTAAGGAAACCAGGTACTGTGTCTTTGTTGATATAGTTAGCTTCTCATATGATGATCTTGAATTTATTCCTTTGCTTAATGAAGAGCATCATCCCCATATGTAAAGTTATCATTTTTCCTTCCTCAGACTATCGGGAAGAAGTTACCTCCAACTATGGCAACTCCAGATTTGTCAAAAACAGAGATGGACAGCAGGGCAAAGAGTAAGTTCCTTATTTTTTTAAAAAAAATTATATAAAACTTTATGGCTTTTTCAAACACATAAAAATATACATGAGTGTGTTTCATTAGATGCTCTTGTGTAGGACAGGTAGCACAAATTAGATTTAGCACTCTTAGGGTTTTTTTTTCTCCATTATGGAGTATGGTTCTTTGACTACCACATGTATTTCACTCATGTTCAGAGCTGGGATTTAACCATATAAACTGAGAACTTTGCATAGCATAGGTGGCAGGGAGATTTTAGAGAATGGCAACTCAAATGCTTCAGAGATTCTCAGGCCTTCAGGTCAGAGAGACCTAATTACTCTGACCATGACCCACCCTTGACTTCCTACTGTCCTCGATACACCTCTGCTGGAATACTGATTGCATCCAGATATTTAAATCAACTCTGGAGATGGTAGACTCCAGTCTTTTTGAGAGCTTTTTGGAGGTACTAGCAGGGGAGCACAGCTACTTGTATACCCTTGACCGAGGAATGGTCCTCCTCTATTGGAGGTGGGCATCCTCTTCAACCGAGTGCAGTTTTGTGAGGGATGCATATGGAATACTGAGGGAAGAAGGGGACACCCCCCAGCCAGCCAGATCAGCCAAATCAACCCTGATGATTAAGGGGGTGACAGATGTTACAGCCAGATCACCGTCACATCTTCCAGTCTTTTTGGAAGGATTAGATAAGTGGATGCAGAAGGAGTTAGCTGTGTCTTTCAACAGTGCTAGCCAATAGAAATGTCATGAGAGCCTCATATGTAATTTAAAGAATTTTAGTGGCCGCATTACAAAAGAAACAAAATACTTGAAATTAACTTTAATGTTTCATTTAATATAACTGAATATTATCTTTTCAACATGTAATCTGCATAAAATTATTTTGAAAGGTACTTTCACCCTTTTGTTCATGTGACATCTACAATTCTATGTGTATTTGACAGATTTTTCAAGGAATCATATTTTGAGTGCTCAGTACCTGTGTTGAGGGGTGACCATATGGAACAAGAGAGTAATTCTTGGGCCTACTATGGACTTCTTGGGCCTGGCAATGTACACAAGTTGCAAGTGCTCAGTTTATTGAAGTATATGCGAAAATCTGGGCTCAAGCTCATGTATCGTTCAGTCCTATGAACACCTATTAACTATATCCACATACTTCACTCTCTAGAAATATCATGGCCTAGGAATGGATTACTAATGAAGCCTGGATTAATATAGACTGATAGAGTGTCTTGTCTTAGAGTCCTAAGAGGATCATTTCTGTTGTCATTATGTAGCAGTGTGACCTTGGACAAATAATTTGCTTTTCTCTGGCCTTCTTGCTCATTGTCTGATCAGTCAAAGGGCTCTACTAAAGAAAACCCTTGAGGTTTCTTTCAGCATCTTCATCCTCGGATTCAATTCTAAAAGCTTTAGGACTGACGAGTAAAAGGTTTCTATATTCTAAGAATTGAGCAGCCAGATGTGAGAGACAGAAGGAAAATGTGAACAGTTCAGTGAGGATATGAGTTTTCATTGGGTATAGATGTTAATGTGCCTCTAAGTGGGTAGGAGGTCAAAAAGAATTTTTATTGTCAGTGAAGCCTTGAGGGGTGTTTACTGAAAGACACTTTTCATGGATCCCAGGGCAAAAATTTTTGCAATTTAATCTCACCCCACATAGACTCCCTCCAGCTTTCCTTACCAAGAGTAAATTCTAGGATATTTATTTTCCCATGATTTCCATGTAGTGCCACCTCGATCTTCTAAAAATCCTCCTCTGAACCATTTCACTGCTTCTGAATTTTGAATTTTGATGTCACATTTGTGTTCAAGCAGGAGGTGAAGTATACCAACCAGTTATTAGAAATTACCCTGAGCTTGGGATCCAAGCAGCCTCTTTTCTTCTTCCTTCTTCCATCTAGTCTGAAGTCAAGCCATAATGAAACTTGCCCATGGTACAGAAGAAGGCAGCGCCTTATAGTACACCTGTCTCCTTGGCATGCTCATGTTAAGATTGAGAGTTACGCTGATTCAAAAAATGTTATTGTGCCTTGGTATTTTCTGAGTGAAAGTGAAATTCAGCTGATCAGGATTTAAAGAACTAACATTCTTCCCACCTCCCCCAACCAAGGAAAAGCTTCTACAACACTGAAATTCAACAGAAACTCATGCTGTGTAACAGATTGCCATAATTTTCATAACAAGTGGAAAACTGTATAAATATTCTTAATGAAGTGCCCCAAGGTATCTCTAGATCATCACATCTGGAGTTCCTTTCTTTTTTATTTCAACTGATGCAGGTTGTGGCCTCCATGGAATAGAAAAATAGCTTGAAGAAAGAGCTGTTTAACATCTTTTTAAAAATGTTGTTGTAGGGTCTCACTATGCAGCTCAGACTCATGGTGATCCTCCTGCTTTAAGCCTCCCTAGCACTGGGATTACAAGTGTGTGCCACTATGTTCAAACTCTGGCCAGTTCAGCCCTCCTCGGGGGTGGGGCTGGCATGGCGTGTGGTGCCAGGGATTGAACCACAGTCCCTGCACTTGCCTAAACTTGCCTAAGCAGGCGCTTTAGTCTGCTGAGCTATCTCACCTGCTGAGCTATATTGAAAGCCTTTAACATCTTTTTGAACTATTAGTCTAATCTTACAGCTCCAGAAGACCAATTGAACAGGTGGGTGTGGAAAAGTAAAAGTCCTTGACAGGCTCTGCAAGGTCATGTCAGGCTCCTGAATAAATTATGAGTTGGGGATTAGAACAAAGGCTAAGTTTCCATGCAGACTTTAGAAGTGGACACTTGTACCACCTCTATGATTGCTCTGTTGACTGATTTGCTTCTTAGGATTTGTCTTCTGTGATGGTGACAAATGCTGCCTAGTTCCTATAATTAGATCTTTGATTCCTCTAGTCAAGTACTACTCACTTCTGTGACAACAGTGTTTCTTGGAGCTTGATAGGCCCTTTAGTTTTTCTAGCCACTGCTTCAGTCTAGTCAGCCTAAGACCACCTGGAACAAGCCAGAAGTCATCAGGAGAGTAGGGCTGAGGCCTTTCACTTTCTGTGAAAGTCATGAAACCCAGGGCACACATATAGAACAGAGTCTGAGATGACTCTGCAGCTCCTGAGCACTGTATGTGGGACTGATCAGGCAAGTGCTATTTTCAACTCTTCATTTACATCTGGCATGAAACCAAGCAAGTCCTCCGTAAGATAGTCTGAATCTGGTACTAGGCCAAGTGAGTTTTTGATAGGACAACTGTCCCAAATTCTTTATTTGCATGAGGGAGGATCCAATCTAGGAATTTCCTGACAAAAAAGCACTATCCTCATGGTTACTGTAAATCTGTTCACTGGCCTGCTGCCATTCTATGGAGTGTACTTCTTTTCCACATTCAATAAATATACACCTCCACTACCTTTAATACGTATTTTGTCCAGTTCTTTGTTGAGGATACCAAGAGCCTGAAAAGAATTTCCTGGAGGCCCACAAAATCCTCCAAAAGTCTTAGGAAGTCCAAGTTAAGTTTAGCAGTTTATTGAGACTGTATAAGATGAGCCCTATGGATGAGGAGAGGCAAAACCAATCAAGTGAGTGGACATAGTCTGTCAAAGTCATGAAACCCAGGGCACATGTACAGAACACAGAGTCTGAGATGACTCTGTTGCTCCTGAGCACTATATGTGGGACTCATCAGGCAAGTGCTATTTTCAACTCTTTATTTACATCTGGCGTGAAACCAGGCAAGGATATCCCATCGAACAGAAGGAAAAAAGTAATTACAAATTTTGAAGTAAGGTGGGATTTCAATGAAGCAGTGTTTTGGTTTTTTTAAAATGTATTTGGTACAGGCCCTCTTGCTATGCAGGTCTTGGACTCTTAGTGATCCTCCTGTTTTCAGCCTCCCCAGTGCTGGGATTGCAGGCATGACCCACCACACCCAGACTCTGTAGCTGACTTAGTGCACCCGGGGGGTGGGCGTGGGGGTGCCATGTGGTACCAGGGATCGAGCCCTGGTCCCTGTGCTTGCCTAAGCAGGCACTTAGTCTGCTGGGCTCTCTCAGCAGCCCAGAAGAAGTGTTTTAATAGGCTTAAAGCAAAGCAAGGCTGTGCAGCAAGGGGTCAACAGCAGTTTTGCACTGTCAGGTGGATCCAGGGCCTGATGAGCAAGACTGTATCTAGAGATCTTTACATGAAGCTCTGTGCTGCTGCTGGGAATCAAGACTGCTTCTCTGAGTCAAGGTTACTCAGCACCTTTCAGCAAGATTAGAATGTTTCATTCTTATTTATATGGTTGGTTTTTAAAAAGTAAAGTTTCTGGTGTTGTTTGGCTTTAGGGGGGTCAAACTTGCTTGAGAAACAAGAAGATTATGATCACTCGAGGAAGATTGTACACTTTATAGTGGTAGGACATGCTTGGGAGAAACTATTGCCTCTTCACTTTGTAGCCACCCTTACTCTTGTTTCTTACCCCTGTCTGGTTAATGGCTGAGCAAATTGTTACCCTCTGTCTAAGCTCATTATTACTTTCTCATCCCATGTTTAAATAGAAGAGAATAGAGTCAACTCCCTGCTGTTTTTCCTCAGCTTCTGGGAACCCGTTGACCCTGCTTTTCCATGTGGGGCATTTCTGCTCCATATTCTTCCCCAAAACTCACTCATTCTTGGGCCTAGGAATTTGAATACATCAAATAGGAAACATATTTCCCACTTACCCTTTGGTGCTTCTCACATCTCATATGTACTGAAGCTCTCATACTCAACGTCTGAGGAGTCCCTCATTCTTCCTAGGAAGGACCTTTCATCAGGTGCTCCCAACCCAGACCTTCTGTGTGGATTCAGAGTGAGGGCCTTCCTGTGAGGCTTTCTAGGCTCCTTGTGTTGCTTAATACCTGCATTTCAAATGCAGTCCTCTTGGAGAAGGAAGAATGTGCTTTTCTCTCAGTCTCCAAGCTTCTCATCTGAACAGTAAAAATTGCTGTTGAGGTATGTTCTTCCCTGTAGCAGAAAA